TCATGCACTGAGCATCCAAACTGGCACACAGTGGTGGCTCAGTGCACCAGCATCTGCACTGGGCTGGTGCTGGTCAGATATAGGTGGACAGATGTGGGCAGAAAGTGGCAGGAGCTGGAAGGTCTCACCAGGTCTCTGCAGTGCACCAGGACCAAGAACTTGGCTGAATTGTTCAGGTCAAATTCAGGAGCTCAAGGGAATACACTTGTAAATTTGAATGGAGTTGCATCCCAAATCCTTGATTCATTTTTAAGATACTTGACATTTTACAGGAGAAACTGGGGAACAAGGTATGTTCCCTGCAGAGCTGTTACATGACCTTTTCCTAGCACACAATGTTTAATGGGTAATGGATAGTGGTTGGTCGGAAAGCCAAAAAAGTCACACTGCTGGAGATGATGCATAGCTACAGCTGTATATCAAACATCTCCAATGACATATTCCTGGAAATAGAGCAGAAAAAAATGGGCAAACTGTGGGGTATTTGCCCAGTCAAACTACTGCAGAGGCAGACCATCTCCAGGCAGAGGAAGCCAGGAGAACAGAGACATGTGACATCAGCAGAAAACTCTCCTGGCTTGTCCCTGTGCAATAGCAGAAAAATGTAGGATGTTCTGGGGCTAAAACGTTCAGGCTTTCAGGATACCTGTGGGAGCATGATGCTGAGTAAGGAGCATCAGGGAATAGAAGTGAACAGGGTGTGAAATGCTGCTTTTGGCAACAGCAGGCACAGACTCCCCAAAGAGTCTGTGAGAGACTAGAATGTTTAATGACTCAAAACAATTGGCCACTTGCAAAAGCAGCAAGTGGTTTGCTGTCTATGCCCAAAGTAACCATCCAGGAGCAGAAAAGGTGCACACACACACACACACACACACACACACACACACACACACTCATATCCCAAGGGGATGATGGGCTCTGAGACAGATAAGGGAAGAGGCCAACGAGGAGCAGATTTTGCAAGGCAGGATATTTATTTTTATCATGTCCTCCCTTATATAATTGGCTCAGGTGTGAAAACTCCCTTCCAGGGAAGTACTGGGGACATTCACATATAAATCTGAAGTTATTATTCCCCTTCTGATGGGCCATAATTGGCTAAAATCACAAGAGAAGCAGCTGTCAGATCTTAAAAGATGTCATAAACCATCAAAGACCCTCAAAGTTCTGCTGATCCACCTGTTAGGTCATACATAAAACTCTCTGACCAAAGGGGAGGTACCTGGCTGTTCCTGTCGGGCCTGAGTATATATTAACCTATTCAATATTGCATTTTGTAGGCTTCCTCCATCCTTGACAGATCAAGACTGTGAACATCATTTTGACCAGCAACAACCAGGTTTTGTCACTGGACCCACTGGAGGGTGATAACTATATAAGCATTTGTCCTTATACCATCTTTTTCTTTTCCCTTATGTATCTTCTCAAGTGTTATTTTTATGCTTTCTTATTACCATAGATAATAACCAAATCAGCTACATAGCCATTTTCCATTGAAACCAAACTATTCTAAAAAAAAATCCCATACATATTATATAAGTATTTATAAGCACTGATCATTCAGTGTTATTTCACTCTAACCCACCCCAAGGAATCTATTAATCTGGGTAACCTTCTCCTTCTGGGGCAGGTTGCAACAGAGTCAACATTCTGCCTGTGAGAATGGCATAAAGGAAGAGGCAAATAAATCCTTTTTTCTCTGACCAGATCCTTCTGACAAATGATGACTGTAGTTCAGGCAGATCTGGTTTTACAGCCCCCCTGTGCCAGCCTGACATACACATAACTCTGCTATGGCAGATCACTGAAACAATTGCTCATTCTGCAAGGAAAGCCAGAGGCTAATTACAGTGAGGCATGTAACACAATTCCAGCAAAGGCAGAGATCTCCAGGGTTGACCTTCCACACACCACCCAAGGGTGCATCTCAGTGCCCTCTTTTACATGCACACACTTCCCTTTGCACATTCCAGGTGGCCTAGGAAGAGCCTGAGATTCACCCAGCATCCCTGTGCTCACCATCTCTTGTGACACATACATACTTGACAGTGAGACCATGGGGGATCTGGAGAATGCTGATAACAGGGAAAACTTCCAAGTGATGGGGGCAAGAGTGCTATGGTGAGAGGTGACCAAGAAGTGAGGAAGACATTCATTCAGTACTAAAGCATCTCTCTGTGGCACCACAATTCTCTGGTGCACCACAATGAGGGCCAGAGCACAACTCGTCATTCAAAAGTGGGCTTTGGAGTGTGGTTGAAGTGCTGGCAAAGGACTAATGGGTGGAAAGCATCCGGGGTCCTGCAGATCCCAGTCTGTGAGGGAAATGTTAAATTATGTGTGTGCAGAGCTGTCCCAGACAGGCTGCCTCAGCCCAGCCACCTGCCCACTTCTTGCCAGCTGATCTTTGGATGCAGCTGGTGCTGAGCCCACCTGCAGATCAAGATGGCCCATGCAGGGCAGGGGGAGAGATCTTCCATGTCAGGAATCACAGATTGTTTCTTGGGATGTGGGAGCTCCCTATGGCAGCAGCAAGATCTCCAAAGCTCCAGATGAGAGGCACAGAGAGATCCATGCCAAAAGAGGAAGGAGAGTCCCATGGAATGGCCTGAGCCATGTTCCACATCATACTCCCAGCTGAGCCAGGGCAGTTCCTCAGGAATCATGCTGAACAGGACATTCAGCATTCATGAATTGTTTCTGGCCTGTCTATCCAAGAAGGAGCAGTGAGGGATGGTATTCAGAGTCCTGAGCCTAACAAGGGCTCAGCCAGGCTCTCCAGTTCTGAAACAGAGAGAGGACTGGACAGAATGGGTTTCTGTGGGAGCAGGGCAAGCACCAGCAGCTCCTCCCTACCTTGCTGCAGGGGGGGTGGGGGTAGCAGGGCCAGCTAGAGGCCACAGTGTCCCCGATTGGTGGAGACAGATCTGTTCTCCACTACTGCTCAGGAATGCAGCTGAGGTGGAGCATCAGGTGCTGGAAGGAGGGTTGCAACCAGTCTCGCCATCCAAGAAAAATACCAGCCCTGCTCACCAAGGGAAAGGAGCAGAAGCAGCCCCTACACAGCAAGATTTATGGGCCCCAGCAGGCTGGAAAAAATCCAGTGAACATTTCAGCAAATCCAGCCTCCGTCAGAAGTTACAGAGTGATAGGTGTAAGTCCCAGCCAGACCTGCAGCTGCTGCCTCTCCTGAGTCAGCCCTGGGCTGACAGTGAAGTCACCCTTGCACCTCAGGTTGTGGGGATGGCAATGAGGTCACTGCAGGTGGCAGTGGGCACACCACTGGCACCACCCTGGATGTGTTCTGCAACAGGACAAGCAGGTGGGGGTGTGACTGGGGGATGCACTGTGGGAAACATCACACTTATTGCATGGGACTGTCTTTAGAGGAGCTCTGATGAGCAGAGGGCTCATTTACAGAAAAAGTTGGAGATGGGTCGAGGTTGATCCCGGCATCCCCTTTCCAGGTCCCAAGCTGGGTCACCTTCTCTGGTATCATCTTCTAAGACTCACACCCTGCTTGCAAACATTTCCTGTTGCCCATCAAGGGTGCCCACAAGGACCATGTCCACAAACCCCACACAGACAGCTTTCCCCTTCGTGCAGGAGATTGCTGCCCCTTCCAAGGATCTCACAAGGACTCATGGTCACCAAGCCTTGAACAGATGAGCGAGAGGAGGAAAAAGCAGGATTCCCTTAAAAGTCATTAACATGTCTATGAGTATTGAGTAATTCCAGATCTCAGCCCTTGCCATCCTCATGTCCTCACCAGCATGCTTTCTGGGATAAGGCCAGTCTCCTTGACTTTGGAAAATATCACAGAGGGTGATAAAATCATCAGCTTTCTGCAACTGGGAGGGGCCAATGCTTCTCATCCATCCTTTCATCAGCCCCATTCACCTCCTTCCTCCTGTATCCCTAGGAAACTCCTCCCACACACTCCAGCCCCCAAATTTCCAAGACTTTTTGCACAGTAAAACCAGTCCTGATCTTGACATAATTACTATCCCAGTATCCACATGGGAAGAGATGGGAGAGTTCTGCCTCTTTTGCAGAACCAAAACTGTTATGCGCGCTTCCCACCTGTTCTGCTTCAGGGGAGGTGTCTGAATCCCCCAAAACCTCAGTGGTCTCCAATGAGGGGATGAGTTAGGACCCTTCTGCTAGATCTTTGTTATCTGAGACATGTAATGATCCAGCTTCTGCCAATGCTCCACAGAAACTCCAGTATCTCTCTGGAGACAAGGCTCAGCATACCAGGTTTTTGCTATTCTTCCTACAGGCTGATTCTCCCTCCCAAAGGACACAATTTGAGGGTCACTCATGGTCCTTTAGCTCCACAGAAAAGTCAGCTTCTCCCTCCAGCATCTCTAAAGCTGGGCAAACGAAGATGCTGGGGTTGTGGTACATTTGGGATAGAGATGTAGCAGTTTTTCTTCATCTTCATGCCTTTCACACAGGGCCAAATCTTCCATGTCCTGTTCCAGGTTGGTACCCAGCCCCAGTGCTCCGATCTACTGCATCCCATCCCTTCATCATTAGACCTGGAGTCATGCAGGACCTGGCATTTGTCTGGTGTCACCCTTGGGTCTTGTGCAAGATGGCTGAGCCTGGAGGCACCACGTCCATGGAGGCATGCTGGGCTCCCAAGTGGCCCCCTCTAAGGTAAGCATGCCTTTTGCTGTGGCTGTTCCCAGCTACAGTTTCATCTCCTCACTGGAGCTACCAGCTCTCTGACCTGGAGCACAGGGTGATACTCAGCAGGTCAGTTCAAGGGCTTTTGCAGATTTTGTATTGCCTTTTTTCATAGCTCCAATGCAGACTGCACTCAGCCAGGTCAGCCCCTTTGGGAAGCACTCCTGCTTCCTTTCCAAGTGCATCCATCCATTTTCCCAATGCAGCAGAGGTCTTGGGATAGCACTCTGCATTAGGAAATGCAGTGCCTCTGTGTATCTCACTCAGCCCTCTAAAACCTTGTTCAACTTCATCTCCAAACATCTAGTGCAGTTCCTGTATTGATGGTCTTGAGATATTTTTGGGAGGAGGGTGGAGGAGGTTCCTTCACACATGCCTGTGGGCATGGGGAAGTTCAGATCTTAACCAGCAAAAGGATCCTAACAGGGGCTGTTCCTCTAGGCACAACGCACCAGGAATTCCATCTCTAGTCTGTGGTTCTTCAGTCAGATTTCTCAAACTACCCCTGCAGGGAGGCCCGCTTCAGCTTCTTTCTTGGGGAGCAGCAGAGATTCAGGAGCTGTCAGGAATGAAGATACATCTTGCATGAAGTACAGCATGAGACTGTCCTTCCCTCAAGGTGAGACCTGCTCGTGAACCTCTTTAGAGCCAGGAGTCAGCCCCAGCCCCAGATTTTGGAGACACTTCACTGTAACTGGGCATCTTTCCACCCACCCCTCTGCAACATCCCCCATCGCTCTCCCTCTCTGTGCCACCCCTTCTTGCAAAGAAGCACTGGATCAAGAGGTCTGAGCATCATCTTTGCCCCAGGGTCTGAAACCTCTCCTCTGCCTTGTGTGGGGCTCTCTCAAGCAACCACCTCTGAGTGTCCCTCCCACCTTGTGTCCCTGGGACGTGACAGAGACATCAGCCACAGGCAGATGCTAGCATTAACAGGGGTCACTCTGGGGGATTGACATCACCTGCTTTCAGGTGTCACCCTAACACCCAGGGGACCCAGCCTCAGGAGAGACACTGCCTAGATGAGCTGCTGTGTTGGTGTGTCTTGGGTTATAATGTAAGGTGTAACCAAAAGTACCTATTCTATTACCATCTACATGAGCTGTTAAAACGAGTGGAGCAGTGTTCTTATCTTCTCCATGATTCAGCCCTGATAACTCTCTCCTGGGAAGCAGCAGCCACCCTGGGGGGAGCCATCTCCATGAATGGTCCGTTAAGGTCTCACAGAAGGACTCATGGAATTATATCATCCCATTGTGAGATGCCTCACCCTGTGGGAGGAACCAAACATTCCTACCTATATATAATCTGAGGCATGGAACACCATGGGGGCACTACCACTGGATTCCCAGAGGACAAGCGTTGATAAACACCACTGGACCTCCAGGAAAGGACCAGTCCTTTCTACAGGATCACCACCTCAACAAGACCACATTCATCACTCCAATGGAACTGTTGCCGCCATTTAATTGGAACAGAGGAACAGAGACAAGAGGGTCATTCTGTCCTAGGAAGAGACAGCTGCTGGGTTACGTGTTGAAGACATCAACACTCCCCTACGAGGGAAGCCTGCTGCCTGGAGCCTTGTATGTCAAAGGCAACGGGCCTGAAATAGATCATGAAAACATATTACAAGTGTAAAAATCCCCTTGGTTTTCCATATCCTGAAACTTTTCACAAATACAATCTGAATATTTGCAGTATTTTTCTCTAGGAAAACACATTTCAGAACAATTAAGCAAAGAGGGAGAGTCATAAAGCTGATGGGAGATTGGGTCCATCTGACTGTCTTCCTACTGACATTTCCCAGGGATCAGGGAACCCTGGAGTATTCCCCAAGAGGAACATGGGTACCCATATGCTGTCTATGTCCAAGGGCCAGGGTTCAGTAGAACGTGGAGGTGAGCCAGTGACAGGAGCAATATGGGTACTTGCAGGAGATTGTGAGGGGCTGTCAGGCAAAGGTCGTACACTTCAAGGTCCGACCATCATTTAAATTAGCAAAGCAGCCAGATAAAACAACAAGGCCTTGTTATTTTTTTTTTCCTTTAAAAATGTAATTTAAAAGCTCATTACTGTCTGTAAAAAGAAAAGGGGGTTGAAGTCTTTGATTTCTCCCCCTGGGCAATCTGTAATCCCTCAGCTAAATCACAAGCCCTTTAATTAAGACCTCAGTCATTTGAATTGTTAATGAAGATCCATTGGAGGACCATCATTCTCATTCCTGATTTCATCTTGTGCTCATTAGGGACTCCTGATTAAAATTCATCATCTCAAAAGATATTTATAACTCTCTAACTATCCCTAGACCTCATTAATTCAAAGCCACCTGTTTGGAAAGAGATGGGGGGACCTAAACAGCACCAGGCAGGATGTGGAGCTAAGGGAATACTGTTGACTGATAGATGACAGTGTTGGCCTCACTGCTCAGTATGGGAAGTGACACCAGCAGTGTAAGGGACACCACGGGAGTAAGACACAATCCAGACTGTATTCAGTGGGGTGAGAGAAGAGAAGGCTAAGCAGCCACCAGCCAGATATGCCAAAGGGGAGAGAGACCCCCTCCTACATCAGTGTCCTCAAATGTACAAGGGTATGAAGACTTGGAAATGCTGAACCATAGGAAGATACCTCTCCATTACTTCTTCTCTGTCCCAGTGGACAGACAGATTCTGCCTGTCTCAACAACTCACCAGGGACACAGACACTGGGTCATACAGTCTGGCTGTTCCCTCCGCAGTTTGCCCAGTACTGATGTTCCATCCTGAACCCCAGTGAAGCTGAACCAGCCTCACGGACCTCACCCCTAGATGGGCCATGGGGTCCTTTTTCCAGCAAAACCCCCAGTGGTAATAGTGAGGGAATGCTAAAGCATCCATCTCTCCTTCCAACCCGTGCCTCAGTTTGCCTTATTCTGGGCTTTGCCTTTTGCTCTCCCACCGTGTCTTCCCTTGCACCACTGGAAGCTAGGCAGAAGCTCTGCCTCTTCCACTTCTCCTTGTCCTCTGCCATCACCCACATGCTGCCTTCCCTTTTTCTCTCCCCCATCCATGCTCTCTCCCATGTTTCCCTTTTCTCACCAACTGTCCAGTCCTGAAGTTTGCCATGACTCTGCTGATTTTCTGCATCAGTTGCTTCTGCCCCAAGTTCAGCCTAAATTTGGGTCAGACTCCCTGGGGCTGGGGTCCAAGCTCAGGGATCACAACCATCACAAGAGGTTTCTCTGGAGTCATTTGTCCCCTTGACCCAAAAGGAACCCTTTCCTTTGGGACAGCCAGTGTTTTTGCTTATCATGTTCTCCTGCTTTGGGTCAGTCTTAAAATAAAAATACCCTGTGAAAATAGGAAATGAGTATTGTTTCAAGGCTGTCCAACAAAATACTCCAGCACTTCTGAAATGATACATTTTACCTTGAAAACTAGCATAGCAGGACTATGCTGACACTTTCACATACATCCAAATGACTGAAACCTGAACTTAGAGCTCCTTTTGTCCTGTTGAAACCTCATCTTTGGTGAATTACTATTCATAAAAGTTCCAGCTGCCACCCCTGCCCAAGTTTCACAGTCCTGCAGCCCAGGTGAGTTTTGGGATAGCTCATCCCAGATCCCTCCCACCTGACGCCAATGTTGTGACAGCAGTATGCAGCTCTTCAGCCATATTCTGATGTGTGAGGCCAAGGAGAGCCTTCCTTCCTCACACAGCAGCTGAGCCCCGTCATATTTGTACCAGTCACCACAACACAAAGCAGGAAAAAATCCCTGGGTGTCTGTGGACGACAAAAAAGGATGATAAATGCACTTTGGCTCTAGACAGACACATTTAAAAGTGACCTGCAAGGGACCTGCAAGGGATCTGCCCCTTTTGGTCCAGATAATAGAAACTCTGAGTGAATTTTAACACTGGGTTTATTCCCCTTATGCTTTTTTGTTCCTGTTAAAAATTCAGGTCCCTGTGCAAGCCCTTGAATGAATGAGTACAATGAGATACAACAGGAGGGAAGAGTGAACACAAGTGAATGAAAAATGGCTTTTAAAACCTTTCAAAGCACTCAGCTATTATCCTGCTGGAGTGGGAGAGGACACTGTTTAACACAGTTTGCTTTGTGCTTGACAGATTTATTTAAGTCCAACAATTGTGTGGCAGTTCAGAGAAAGGAAGCCTTTGCTGGAGTCACAGTTCTCCATGGTAAGAAGTCTCCATGCGCTTGCTAGAGTGAGGTCACTTTGCATGGAAGAATGAACTGCTTATTTGGCATGGGTGACCCTCCAGAGCCCACTGCCTGTTGGGAGGCACAACCTGGGATGATCCTTGAAACAGCAGTTTCAAGCTTTGACTCTGCCTGTGGTAGCCATCCCAGCTGTGCTGTCCAGCCCAAAGAACAGGGGTTCTTCTGAGCAATAGAAAGATTCAGGGTCTGGGACAAAAATCCCTGGCTGCTATGAACTTCTCTTGAACTTCTCAAAGGGGCTTGCTTACATTTGAAGTTTTCCAGGTAGCATTTAAGTAAATTATGTGTGAGTTATTTTGATATCAGAACAAAGGATGATTCACCTGGGTTGAACAGAGATAACCGCAATAACTCAACAGGCCCTCAGTCTTGGCAAGTTTCATGGGGGCAAAGCTGTCACTGGAGCCTGTCTGCCTGGAGCTGGGTTCAAGGAGTATTTGGAAGCAGAGCTATTGTCTTGGACCCATGACTGTGGAGCAGAGTTTCTGCACCTACAGGACTCTTCTACCTTCCATAGGTCCATGGAACGGCATCAGTTGTAAGGATCAGCTTGGTACATATACAAAGGAGTCCCTCAGCCTTTCCCTTTGGGCCCCTTTGCTCCACAGTAGGCAGATTGTTTGGAAAGATTTGAGGTTGGAAAAGATAATCACAGGTTGGGTCAGGTTGAAAGGGACCACAGTGGGATCATGGAGTCCCACCTCCCTGCCTCAGAAGTGTCATCCTAGAGCACAAGGCAGAGGATTGTGCAGATGGTTCTGGAATATCTCCAGTGAGAGAGATTCCACACTCTTTCTGGACAAAGGGAAAGGGAAGAGGGTTGTCAAGGACAGTACCTACCACCTTCCACCTTCTGCTGGCAGCAGGACCACTCATGTCACAAGGAAGGAGCAGTCTTTTGCTAACAGGCACAGCACCATGATATGTCTCTCCTAGCCTCATTCACCAACATCTTTCCACTTATTGACACAAATAAATGCCATTAAGGCAAGACCATGATATCCCTTGGCCCTTCCCTTGCAGGACAAGATGTGCCATGAATGTACCTCAACCATCCCATCCCATCCCATCCCATCCCATCCCATCCCAGTGCCTGGGTTCTGGTGATGCAGGTGTGTGGTGAGGGTGTACATGGCCCCCATGCAGCCCATAGGCCATGATATAGCCCAGGCTTTCTGTCTGGGCCCTTATGACCACCCATGACTCCCACACTACTGGCAGCTGCCACCACAAGCCATTGCCTCCCTCTTTTGGGTGAATTTGGGGAGGTATGAGGTGGAGCACCCAGGAAGCCCAGGCAAGGCTGGCACCTACAGAAACAGCCCTCTCACCTCACCAAATGGGGAACACCCACCAAGCATGCCATACTCTTCAGCTTCTGGGAAAACAAACCTGTAGAGCCCCCAAAGGCTCATCCTGCCACAGACCCTCATGGAGGGCTCATACAGCCAAACAGGGCCTTCTCAATGGGCTCACAAAGCCAGATCTTGCTCTCTGTGTGACTGCTGAGACTGGGACTGAGTTAAATGAGCAGTGTCCAAATGCTCCTGGAGCTCTGGCAGCCTTGAGGCCTTGCCCATTTCCTGGGGAGCTTGTTCAGTGCTCCACCACCCTCTGGGAGAATTTTTTCTTAACATCTAGCCTGATCTCCCCTGACACAAGTTCATACCATTCCCTGTCTCTGGGCACTAGCAAGCAGAGATTGGTGCTTGCCCCTTCACTACCTTGGGAGGAAGCTGTGAACCACTAGACCCTTGATATCATCACTGTTGGCCAGAGCGCAGGAGAAGAAACCAGCCTGTCCAGTGCAATAGCCAACCCATGGAGCATTTGGGAGCAGACAGCAGTGAAGAACAGCAGCATCTCCACAGGATCCACTGGCTACACAGGACTGTTGTTCCCATCTGAAAAACCCAGGTTTCTCCAAGCCCTGGGAGCTTCCAAGCCTTTGGAAGGCTATCTGAGTCCCCACATGGAACTGG